ACTGCACCGTGCTTAGCTGCGCCTAATCCTACGTTCTCATGAGTACGAGGGGTACTCAGTGTTATGAAAATTATAGAAGGGGTACACATATGTCATTGGGAAACATTGCTCTAGGGAATAAAATGCTCATTTGATTTGGAGCTGAGTGCAGCGCCACTAGGGACCCTATCTGTGCACTTTTTAGTATATAAAACACTTTGAAATGTGGTCAGAATGCTTCCAAATGCTAGTGGAGACAGAACGAGGTGCTAGGGGGCTTTGAAGGTGGTCTCTGCCCCAATTCAGGGGCCATTCTGAAACTGACAATCAGAGGCTTCCATGGGGCAGAACACAGCACACACTATGCTCCGCCCATCAAAAACGTTTTGAGCCAGAGTTGAGTTAATCATGTGGCTTCGATCCTGCATGTTATCTTCATTGGTCTCTGCAAGACTCCTCCCTTGAATGTGTGGAGGTGTGTCTTCATTTTTATAATCTACTCTCGTTCCTCCTCAGCATGTCAATGTGCCTTTCTTGTTTGTGTGCTTGCAAAATAGATATTGTTGTTTTGTGTGCATGCATTTTTAATTTATGCAGATGGTGTTGATTATAAACACCATTTTCTTATTTTTACCACAGCATTAGGTTTTTAAGATCTATCCTCATTGCTACATATATAGTACTGAGGGTCTACCTGTGGGGTAGGACTCCTCAGTGTCCCACTCACTTTGTCTCTGTCACGACAGGTGCTGTGGTGACCAGCCTTCCTGGTGCCCACTGTGGACACAGGATGCTTTCCCTGGGAATTGCCTGCACTCTGGAGGGGGATTTCTAGGTCACAAGGAGTGTTTACACCTATCCCAAGGACCTGTTCTCCAAATGGCTACACTGATCAACTTCCCACTAGCATAACACATGGCCTAGTTTATAAGTATTCTGTGGGTGCTTAAAAAGGTGTTCTCTATTTGTTCTTTTGGGGGTGGCAAGATATGGAGTGAGGGTTCAGAACCCTAGATGTATATAGTAGCTCATTCTTTTTTATAAAAAATATATTTTTATTGATTTCAGAAAGGAAGGGAAAGGGAGAGAGAGATAAAAACATTAATGATAAGAGAGAATCATCATCCATTAGCTGCCTTCCACATGCCCCCCATTGGGGATTGAACCTGCAGCCTGGGCATGTGCCCTGACCAGAATCGAATTATGACCTACTGGCTCATAGGTTGATGCTCAACCACTCAGCCATGTCAGCTGGTCTAGCTCACTCTTATTATTCTATTGTTTAGCTCCCTGATATCTCTGTTCATTTTTTGTTCTCTTGATGTACCATTTTCTAAGGTTTTGGTAAAGTCTTAGCTATAATGATGGAATTGTTTAATATTCTTTGCAGTTTAGTCAATTGTTGCCTGATGTGTTTTGAGGCTGATTGTTTCGTACATATGTGTTTATAATTATAATGTACTCTAGCCCTATTAATTACTTATATCATTTTTTCTACTTTAGCTTTTTTGCCTTAAATTTCACTTTTCAAGCAATTATGGTTGATACCTTAGCTTTCTTTTAGTCCATACTTATTTAGTATGTCTTATTGCATCTTTGTATTTAGACATTTTGTGTCTTTCTGTGAAAAGTAAATTGTTAGCTCTTTTTAAATAAAAGTACAACTCTTGCATTTCTATTAACATATTTTGTCAATTACTGTCATATTATGACTAAGTTCTGTCTTCTGTTTATATTTTGTACTTACTGTCTTTTTTCAGGTGACTTTCTAGAATGATCTTCTTTTTTTGCTTTCCAGTAGAAGGAAAATTTTCTTCTAGTTCAAAACTTATATTTCTAATTTTGTTCTCATGGCGGTTGCCCTTATTCCTCCCTGTGGGCTTCCTAAACTTATCAACTTTGTACAAATTAAGTCCTCTAACCCACCTTCCTGTCTCTTTTATCTCCCTTCCTGCCATCATGTAATATTCCGGTTCTAGGTTGTTACAAGTATATTTCTTCTATTTACCTCCTTTGGTCTAGCCGCAGTGTTTCCCAAAGTGTGGTACACATACTCCTAGGGGCATGGCAAGAGTTTGGTGGGGGTACGCGTTGCACCGGAGTTTGGTGGGGATATGCACTATACCGTGCTTAGCTGCGCCTAGATCTACATTCTTATGAGTACGAGGGGTACTCAGCGTTACGAAAATTATAGAAGGGGTACACAAATGTCAAAAGTTTGGGAAATACTGGTCTAGGCATTACCAAGGTATTTGATCACCCTACAGTATTCTTGTGTCTCTTGTGGCATTTCCCAGATTTGTTTTTCTTCTATTTGTAGTGTTGTCAGTGTAGGGCTCTGTGGGTAAATCTCTGGAGGTCCTTCTATGCGGGGGGACACTTTTGTTATACTCTTAAATACCTTTAGTATGTGCAATGGCATCTGTGTAGATTATTAGATTGAATCTTCTGGCTCTGGTCTCTGAAACTCTGGTTAGGAGCCCTGTAATTGTCCTCTTTTCTTCCCACCAAATTGGCTGGCCAGTGTTGTGCTGGTAAGCTGGCTATCTGGGGGAAAGAGCCCAGATCTGTAGTTTGCCAATTACTATGGTGTAAAAACTACCATCGCTGATTTCAAGCTACCCATGTGATGTCTCTGATCATAGCTTTGGGAGAAAAGCACTCATGAGCACCATCAGGTCTCAGAAACTGGCCCCCACTGGCTCCCTCTCTCTCCTGTTGACACCTAACTGAAGTGCTGGAATAGACTCCTGTGGTCATAGTACCTTTTCATAAGTGAATTCTTTTGTCTGTTTCCATCGTGCTTGTTATCCTTGGCCAATTCAATTTGCTTTATAGGTGAGGCTATTGAAATACTTAGAAGAGCTAAGGGGATTTGTTAGTGGTCAATAATCAGAAAGGCATGCACACAGAGGTTTTTTGCTCTTAATAAAACCAGATTATAACACTTTGGTGGAAAAATGCAGGAAAGAGGGTGTTTTAATAGTTCTATATCATCACTTAGAGGTTCTGGGACAGCTAAGTGAGCTGGGAGCATAATCAGCCTTTTGGAGAAATTCCTGGATGTTTAATCCTCAGGGAGCCACAACTCCATAGTCATTAAAATGCAGCCCAAGACCTTCTTGGCCTCAAGGTGTGACCACAGACTCAGAAGTAGACTCTGGAGTCTGACTCTATCCTCTTTCTTAGGTGGGAGATTTATTTCTAGTGAGAAGTGTTCCATTTTCCTGGCAAATCATCACTGGCTAGATGGGATTTGGAAGATAAATAGGAAGCATGGGGCTGTTGGGTTGTCAGATCATGGCTGGGATCTCAGGGCAAGCAGAGAAAAGAAGGGAAGGAAAGGGAAAGGAAGGGAAGGGAAGGGAAGGGAAGGGAAGGGAAGGGAAGGGAAGGGAAGGGAAGGAAGGGAAGGGGAGGGAAGGGAAGGGAAGAGAAGAGGAGAGAAGAGAAGAGAGAAAGGGAAAGAAGGGGAGGGGAGAGAAGAGAAGAGGGAAGAGGAAGGAAGGGAAGGGGAGAGAAGAGAAGAGAGAAATGTGGATATCAGCTTTTTCTATATGATGGATTTTAGTCAAATGTAATATTTTCCTTAAAGCTGCATTTCTAGCATTCCACACTTCTCAGGTGGAAGGGACCATAGAGTCCCTTCCTGTCGTGAAACTTGTAATTGGGACTAAGAGAGGGGGTGGACTCACTCAGGATGGTAGGAGGCTCTGTCCCCTCCTCCTGCCTCTTTTCTACACCCTCATCTAATGTCATCATCCCGTCATGCTAAACTGGAAGTGTGTGTGGTGAGGAAGTCCCACTGGAGGGCTGTGAGAGGCTCATCCTCCTCTGGGGGAGAAGTGGGAGGGCAAGGGGGCCTGTGCTTTAGGTGCTCAATGCTATGACCAGAGCAATGAAATAACACAAGGGTTCGCATTTGTAATTTTGGGGGTGCAAGACTAAAAAACTATGCCCTAAAGTGTAAGCTGGGTTAACAACTTATATTTTAACCAAAGAAGAAAAAATGACCACTGTCATTTTTGTGACTCCCTTTGCAAGCAAATCAAACCCTCCCCTGAGAATTTTTCACTCGTTTTTCATCTCATTTCAGACACATGCTTGATTATGGCAAACCCTTCAAGTGGGCAATGTGTGAACATGCAGGCTAGTGCATTTTAAGAAAACGCTGATCCTAATTTGCAAACTTAACAGTTTAATGAGAGTATGTTTATGTCTATTACAAAAAGAAACACATTTGTTTAAAATATGATTTGAATGTTGAAAAAGATCAGTTTTCATCTTATGCCATTTCCAGAAACATTCCTATTTTGTAAAGAAAAGCACATTGGCTAACCCCAAGTCTGGAGAACCTTTCATGACTCAAGAACAAATCTCCACAGATCTTTGAAATTGTTCTACCTCTTCTCCAGGTAAGCCTCCACCTTCTACTTAACTCAAAGTAATTACTTGTTGGTCATGTTGATTTCATCAGTTTATAGGAGAGAAAGCTGAATCAACACTTCTCAGGTGGAAGGGACCATAGAGTCCCTCCCTGTCATGAAATTAATAAGAAATTGGGGCTGAGAGAGGAGGTGGACTCATCCAGGGTGGTAGGAGTGCATTAGTGTCAAGCCGGGGCAGAACCAGCCCTTTTGACTTCTAGGCTAATGCATATTTCCTGACACTGCATGAGATGATGAGTTGGGAGACATGTCATCAACCACTGTCCCCTTTTTGGTGAGTTCTCTTTAGGGATGTGGCTTATTTAGCAGAAAAGGGAAAACTCCCTTCAAAGGAAGTGGAGTGAATTGAGCAAAATCTAAACTAATCATGTCTGAGATAAGCATTGAGCTTCTTAGAACAGAGAGGTTCCTGAATGGTGACTACACAATATTTCCCTGTGCTTGGGAATAAGTATGGCTAGGCTTGCTGGGGGAGAATCACAGACAGACAGCAGGGGAGGTGAAGTGGCCTTCAGCTTTGGGACCTGCACAGCCTGCTGAAGGCTGAATTTACAGTGATCTGGAAAGGGCAACTTAGGAGACATCATAGGCCTGGTACTTGGTTATGGTTGAAGGTCTTCTGTTTTTCTCCTGGGACAGGTAATAGATGCGGTTGGCCTCTGGGTAGGTGACTTTGCTGAGCGGAAGCTTGTAGATGGCGGGGTTGTTGGTCGTCAGGAGCAGGAAGGTTAGCGCCGAGAGGCAGAAGGGCCAGGTGCAGGGCGGTAATCCAAACTGGGGGGAAGGAGAACACAAGAGAAGCCTTAGTGACATCATATGCTTGTGCCTGTTTCATCAGCCCTCACCGAACACCCTCAGCCCTGGGTAGAGGAGGCGATGCTTCATGTCGTTGATAGGAATAATAATACTTAATTTATGACCAGTATAAGTAAAATCATGCAGTGGCATCAGTCTTCAGTGTAAGAGGTGAGTAAACATGCTTCAGAATGCAGCCACTGAAACCCTATTGTAATATGCCTTTATGTTTTGTTTTGGGTTATCGGGCCAGCCTATATATCAAGGAGTTGTAGCCATTCCTGCATTCTCCCATAGCCCCTGTGGAAGGAATGGCTTTGGCAGTTATTTTGTAGTTCAAGGCCTTTTTACTTTAGTCACAGCTCACTCAAGTGCAGCTTGCCATAGGCAGATGTCCTGGGCATAGAACCCCTCTCCTGAGAATTTGAATTAAGAGGCACAGATACTGTCTGTAAGCCTGAGAATTCAGCTAGGAGAGAAATCAAAGCATACCCCCTCATCCCCAAATTTAATTTTATTATAAGGAATCAAGACCTCAGGTAATACTATGGGGGTAACAATATTATCATATGTGTGTTCAAGATGGCACTGTTGCACTACCCTAGGGTTTCATTCATTCAGCATTCTCGAGCACCTATTCTATGCTGGGCACTGTAATAGGTACTAGAGAGAAAGAGGAGTATGTGACTGGGTCCCTGTTCTGAAGGAGCACACAAGCTGAAGGTGGAACAGGACTGAAGTGTTTTTGTCATCACAGTGCTGAATGTCACATGTAGCAGATGCATGCACAAACTTTGATGGGGCTCAGAGGAGGGACTTAGCCCATTGGGTGACCCAGGATGGTATCAGGGAAGACGAATTTCTATGCTTAGAAATTTTTTTTTCCATACTAAGTCCAAACTGCCCAAGTTCACTAAGGAGGGATGTAGATAGGTGTGAATAGAATACCCAACCCCCTCTTCACCTGCAGGACCAACAGGACTTTCCTGGTTGCCCATGTGAGATGTGCCCTTGAACCCTTATTCAAAGAGGGGGAGGCATTGGCTCCAGGCTGAGCCCTGAGCACTTTGAGCTGGGGCTTGGGACTCTCCTGTGTGAGGGGATCTGGCACTGGCCATATGGTGCCTCCTGACCTCATATACCACCCTGCATTGGGGCTCAGAGAAGGGGTTCTCAGGCTGCTGCTTGTGCCCACAGCCACCAGCTCTAGCATCTCTCAGGCTTGACTGAGGCTTGGCTCCTATCTTTCCTGAACCTCCCCTCAGGACCACAACACCATGCTAGTTACTATGAACAAACAATTGGCCTATTAGCTAGTCAGGCAGATGATTTGTAAACATATAAAAATTAAGTAATAAATATTTAAAACTAGTTCTAGAGGACGATAGAATCAGAGTTCTATAAGAGTTTGCTTTATAAGATAATGCTCCTGAAATTGTCCTTCTCTAAGAGCTTAGCTGGTCCGCTGATGATGGGATCAGACTGGCCAACACTTGACATTTAAGCTTGCGAGGCCCAGGTCCTTCGGTCCAGCAGTGTAGTGTGATTTGAGACAAGAGGAATGAATTAGGGAAAGCCTCCTGCAGTAGGGGTTTTGTGTGACTTTGGGGAGAAGAGAGAAGACCGGGAAGGGTATGTGGCACATTCTCAGCTCACACAGACTCACCACAGACAACATGTTGGCCAGGGCAGCACCCAGGTAGGCTGCAAACAGCGCTGGAAAAGAATCAAGAAACAGGTAAGTGACGAATAGTGCCTCAAGCTCCACCCACATATTTTCTCCCCATACAGTGCATGCCACAAACGCTGTCTTGCACATGACAAAAATCAAATTCTGTTTCCATTGCCTGGCAGCTTAGGAAAGTGTTAAATTCCACGCAAATGCTGGCACCCCAAGGCAGCAGGTGAACTTCATTAAAAAGGTCCAGCCTTGAGCTGTTACAGTTCTCTCGGGCACCACCACCTTGCATTCCAGCAAAGGAACATTTAGCAGCATAAATCATAAAGGGAAATGTTACTATACAGCTAAGGCGAGCGAATCCCAGAACTCCCTGCAGGTGTATTTCATCATGAGTTATGAACATAACATGGGCTTCCAGGGAGGAGCAGCATTCTGTAAACTTGAGGAAAAGCAACTACACTGACTGCCTCAGCACCTAGGCCCTGCCTGGGGAGGGCACAACTGGCTGGCCACTGGGAGGAGCCCACTGATCTCTGTTGAGGTTCTGTGAAAGTGGCTCATGTAATTGGGCTTTGCTTTGGATCTTTAATTTATCAACTAAATGCAGCCCTGTAGTTCCTAGGATGTTAACCACAGAGTTACTGAGCTCCCAGTTGGCTACAATCCTGACCGTATCCTATAATGTGAGCATGATTTGAAGGTCCTAGGGTCAGTGTTTGGGTGTAATCACTGTATCAGATATAAATCGCCCGATTCCAAGTATAAAGATACATTTGCTCAACTGCTGCTCTGTTAATTAGGTTCAATCACTAGCCAGGAAAGTAGCACTCACAGGAGATAAACATGAACAACAACCAAACAAGTACCAGCTACAAAAAGATCTCCCCAAGTGACTGAACAGTGTGTTTATCAGAAAGAAACTTTAATGTATTCATCACTGAACAACCATTCAACAATAATTTTAAATAAAAGCCTTCTATAAAGCAAACGATCATCCCATTTGTCTTTGAAGGATTGGCAGAATTTTCCCAGGGTGGTTTTTCTTGGTGGAGATAGGCCCAGCCACCTTTTTTGATGGAAAGGGGGTTCGGGGTGGTACCTACCACAGGCGATGGCCAGGAGGTGCGTCTGCCAGGTGATGACGTAGAACATGCCCCCTATGGCGATGCAGGCCAGCGTGCTGTTGAAGCCACAGAGGCCGAAGTAGATGGAGTCAAAGGGGGTTGCGATGGTGAGAGCTGCGAGAGAAGGCAGGCACCGTGTGGACATGGCCTCTTCTGAGGCTCACTCCCAGCCCCAAACCCACCATGGTCCTCGAAACCCAGCCTACTGATCCTCTGTGGCATTTATAAGAAAAAACTTAGGACTTTATTCAGTAAAAAAATACCTAAAGGAAACAAGTGGCCAGAGAGCCATGTGAACATCCGTGGTGAAGCTGTTATGGTTAGAAGAGACCCTTTAAGTAAGAACTCTGAAATCTGAAGTCCAGAGATGGTCCTTCCCTGGCCACAGAGAGGATGATGTCTCCTTCTTCATTGATATCTTAATGCTCTCTAATGGAGAACACATCCTTCTTATCTTCATTAAATAGAAGACATAAAATATAAACACGCCTGAAAGAAATCCCTCCCAAACTTTAAATTTATACTAAGGTGTAAAAGACTAACACCGAAGCCTCTCTTGAGGGCAGCTTTTGCTCTCAGTACCATAGGGCACTGGCACCAAAATAGAAAAAAAAAAGATATAATAAAAGGAGGGAAAGTTTACAGAAATAAGCAGGTAGAAGCATTGAAGACACGTGTCCCCATTTTCTTTGGAGTTGGTCTCAGGTTCCAACATCTTTATGGCTCCTGAGAAGTGCTGACACTAACCTGCTAACATCCCCATGGTGGATCCAATGGCAGCATGCAAGCAAATAAGAGGTGATGATATGAACAAGGCTATGAGGAAAATGCCTCCAGTCCAGGGATTATCGCAGCCGTACACTTGGCCGATTCCAACAGGGATGGCTCTCAAAAGCTGTGGGCACCACAGGCAAAGAGACAGCTTTAACCTTGGCTGGAAAAGATTTGGCGCCAAACCCTCCACATTAACATTTTGCAACAGGTTTCTGAGGTATTTTTATTCAAATAGGTTAACTCTAGGAAGAACACGAGCTTTATTGTTTTAATCTTGCATTCTCAGAACATTAGGGGTTAGGATGTAAAGACTCCTGTTGGGAGTTTTAAATCCCCCCTCTGACATTGATCACCTGTTTCCCCAAAACTCAAGGCTATAATGAGATGGTAAAAAACACACACATTTTCATCATGACCATAATCCATTCAATTGTCCAGGAAGTTAAGTTATTTCTAAGGAATAACCACGCCAAATTGAGTTTTTTTTCCCCCCTGGAACTTTGGGGGTTTTAATATATTTGTATAGAATTTCCTATTTTTTTTTCATTTCTCCAAAACTCCTACATAGTTTTTCCATTGAAATGTGGCATAGAGCCCTAACAAGTTTGGTTCAGTGAATAGAGTGTCGGCCTGTGGACTAAAGGGTCTCAGGTTCGATTCCGGTCAAGGGCATGTACCTTGGTTGCAAGCATATCCCCAGTGGGTGGTGTGTGGAGGCAACTGATCAATGTTTCTCTCTCATCAATGTTTCTAACTCTCTATCCCTCTCTGTAAAAAAATCAATAAAATATATTTTTAAAATGTGGCATGGAGAATGCAAAATATCTTAAATTATCCTTTTATAATATCATCTTCATGTAGCATACCAATTAGAGTAATTTTGCCATCCAAAGACATCCATGGGGTAAATACTATCAAAGGGAAGCCACAGGAGTGAATTGTGGCTCATGAAGGTGCACACATGCACCTGTGGTTCATGAAGGTGCACACACGCACATGCTCATGTACACACGCATGCATGCAGACACACACATCAACATGGACGGGGCTGACATGAACATTTCTCTTCCTAAATAATGACACTTTTTGTGCACGTGCTGTCTGCTATACCCTGCTGTTGCAGACTGTGGAAGGCTAAGAGAAACTAGGCAACATTAGTTTTGAAAGTTCTTTCAACAAGGGCAAGTGGCTTTGTGGTTAGATGATGGATTGCCAGTAAGGGAGTTCCTGAGTGAGCACAGTCTGGGTGGCGGGTGGTGGTGGTGGTGGTGGTGGTAGTGGGAGCTGTTCAGTGTAACAAAAACTGGGGGGATGTATGGTAGTGGTGGAGGGAGGGGAAGCTCAGAGAAAATGTGTCCACTTAGATAAGGAGGCTTATATGCTCATTTCTCCAGGCTGATTTAACGCTCTTGGTGTAGCCTCTTATTAATGATCTTGGCAGGCTTCCAGAGGCCAGCGTTATACACGGAATACTTGTCAAAGACGTGAAAAGCGATGCTCTGAGTGCATGTATTAATGGAGGAACACCTGTGCTTTCAAGTGTGAGTGCACCTCGGCCTCAGAGAGCAATTACGAGTGGAGGAGGCTGGGGCAGACCTGCCTGGGCCAGTAGATGGCGATGTGATGTGGACGTCTTCAATGATTCAATGAGACTGGACGAAAAAATGCACAACATGAGCAGGATGGAAACTGGGATACAGCCTCAAAGAGACTCTATAGACAGGAAGAAGGAAAGAGCCAAAACCGTTTTGGCTCAGTGGATAGAGCGTCAGCCTGCAGACTGAAAGGTCCCAGGTTCGATTCCGGTCAAGGGCATGTACAGTGGTTGCGGGCACATCCCTGGTAAGGGGGTGTACAGGAGGCAGCTGATTGGTGTTTCTCTCTCATCGATGTTTTTAGCTCTCTATCCCTCTCCCTTCCTCTCTGTGGAAGATCAATAAAATATATTAAAAAAAAAAAAAAAAGAAAAGGAAAGAGCCCGGGTCCTGCAGACAGGAGGCCACACTTCTAGTTTTGCCTTTGCCCTTCACTAATTTGCTGTGTGACCTTAACCTTAGGCTGTGTCTCCACCTGGCCTCAGCCTCTTCCTCTGTGGAACCAGCAGTGGCCTTCCTGGCTCTTAGTTAGAAAGAGAAAAGCACAGGATGGCGACTCATGACAAACGGTATGTAGAGTACCTCGTGTTGTAGAATAGCAATTATGACAGGTGGATCTTTCTGATGTGCAAAACAAGTCAATGCCACTTTAACACTGAGTTTGCTGTCTTCCACCTTCCACGGTACCTACCAAAGGCACTTGGACCTCCGACCAGGTGATGTTGGGCACCGAGGAGGCAGGCTGCAGCAGGGTTGTGGGGAAGAAGAGGTTGTAGGGGCCTGTGGCTGCCAGGTACAGGGTCACCATGATGTTGAAGGGCAGTGTGAACACTGGGAGGTCCCACTTGCTGAAGATGGAGCCCAGGGCGCTGGAGAGGATGGGGCTGGTGGCAGAAGCACAGGAGATGCTGTTCAAGAAGCTCCCGGCCTTGACACTGGACCAAGCAGGAGTGGGTGCTCCTTGGGCCCACCGGGGGGAAAGCACCCGCTCTGCGCCTGACTGGCTCTGAGTGGTAATTTCCCAGCCTCTACCTCCCTGTACCTGGCACAGCGGCAAGGTGATGCCCAGACTCAACTTGAGAAGGAGGCTTTCTGGGGTCTCAAGGACAGGGAAAAGCCAAGGAGGGGTGGGTGGCAGCAGGAGGAATGAGAAGATTTGCAGAAACTGATGGGACCCATGTGGTGTGGCTCTTAACCTATGCTGCCTTTATTTAATATCCCAGGGCTCTGGTAGGCAGGACCAGAAACTCTTTAGATCTTAAAAGAAGAAGAGGAAGGCATGGTAGGTAGGAGATGCCGTCTGGAGGTCACCTAGCACAGTGCTGGCACCGTATGGCATTAGTAATTATTCCCAGTGGACGTTTCTGATGTGTGAGCTAAGGTGATGCCACCTTCAAAGCGAGCATAGACACCGTCATGGCATTGGCGTAGAGATTGGCAGCCCCTGGTCAGCCCCAACAGCCTCGGAAGTGAACTTACCAAGCCATGGACATGATGATGACTGGGAGCAGGAGCCACCAGTAATAGTCACCTTTGTCTGAGAACACGGCCATCAGCAGCCCCACCAGCACCCCGTTGTAGCCCTGCAGTCCGGCTGCGATGGCTGACCTGGGGGAGAAAGGGGGGCTGGTGATTTGGGAGCTCCCCAAGGCCCAGTGCAGGGGTGCTGCCTTCTCCAACTTCCTTCTCACTCAGAGTTTCCTCAACTGGGATCGACGGCACACACCTTCGAACAGATGCCCCTCCTCCCACTCCCCTAGACGGCGTGCAGCAGTTACAAAGTCATCAGGGGATGGCGGTTCCTGGTTACCAGTGTTCTTATTTTGAGGAATTTCCGCAGTGAGGGGGCAAGAAGGTGGCAACGGTCCCTGCAGGATTGGCCTCTGGCCTCACGCTGACCCTGGGGCTCTAGAAACTCACTTGTCCTGGCTGAGGATGAGGGCTGTCAGGGTGGACATCACGGTGCCCAGGCAGCCTGAGATGGCCCACCATGGGTTCTGCACAAAGAGCCCGAGGATGATGAGCATGCCGCTGAGGGGGTTGTTCACGAACATCACCTGAGACGTGCCCCGGAGCACCCAGTCCAGGAACTGGAAGACGGGGGATTTGTCTGGAATGGAAGCAGGCAGGGAGTCAGTCAATGCTCAGGAAGATGGTGACTTGGGAGCTCCCCAAGGCCCACGACAAGCAGAGGGAGTGAGGGGCGCACCACACCTAAGGTGGGTTTGCGGGAGCCTATCCCCCTCTCCCCCCGCTGTCACCTGCCACAAAAGAGAGGAAACCAAGAAACCTAGAGCTCATTTGACTGCCCACACATATATAACACATTAATCAATGAAGAAATTAAAAAAGAAAATATTGCTAAAAAATATTCTTATTGATTTCAGAGAGGAAGGGAGAAGGAGAGAGAGAGATAGAAACATCAAATAATAAGAAGACTCATTAATGGGCTGCCTCCCCCATGCCTCACTCTGGGAATCAAGCCCACAATCTAGGCATGTGCCCTGACCGGGAATCGAACCATGACCTCCTGGTTCCTAGGTCAATGCTCAACCACTGAGTCAGGCTGGCCCGGCAACAGTGGTGGCCTTTAGGTTGTTTTCAAGTAGTGGGTACCTGAGCTTTCTGTGCCCTGTGGGAATGGCATGAGCTGGGAGCCAACCAGTGAGGGACGGGAAGGTGGCAACAATCCCTGCAAAGAGTGGCTGCTGACCTCACAATGACCCGTGCTTTCAAGAAGATGGATCTGGAAAGAAAACTCCTGCTGCACAGGGATCATCAAACCCATGGCCTGAGCCCTGAGGAGACTGCTATCGAGAACCTCTGGGAACAGTAGACATAGCTCTCCCAGGAGCCATCCACGGGCAGGCATGCCCTGGACTCCCAGGGCTAACATGCCTGGCTGCATGCATGGACAGGCTATGTGAGAGGTAATACTGCATGCTCAGCAACAAAAGCCCGCACACCTACAAGTATTGCATTCACATCCCAAGAGACTGTGTCTGTTCTAACAGCGAAATGTCTGCCCTCGAAAGACAAACAGTGTAGTCTACAGAGAACCACAACCAAGTGTTTCCTGGGGATGACTGAAGGGGACCTCTGAAAGTCAGGGTCAGGGGTCACTGTCACAGCAGCTTTACCTTTGAGCCCCTCTCCGCACTCCTTCATCTCTCCGGTGACGTAACTGAGGGCACTGCTGATCCTTTTCCCGCCGGCAGCCAGGTAACTCTGCATCCGGGAAGTCCTGGAGATGCTCGTGTCCACCTTGATCTCGGCGCTCTCCTCCATGGTGTCCAGGTCCTGCCCGGGAACGAGAGACAGGCAAAGGACTCCCGCATCTGTGCTTCTCCCACCGAGAAGTGATATTGTGCTCGCTGGGGCCCAGGCTAAGCGTTTCATTTGGCATTCAGTGAGATTGCTGTCTAATCATCTCTGTGTTTCTGTAGCCTAGCATATCTTTTGTTCGTGATGTCACCCCAGTTAATAGGAGCAACAACCTTGGAATCCAACAAGACAATATCATTGTTCTCATTCTGTGCATGAGGGCTCAGGCATTGAGAGGTCTTATTTGCAGACATCAAGGTCAAACAGCGGAATAGGGATTTAACCACAGATATTTATATTCTTTAAAAAATAGTTCCTTTTACTATGCCACATGCTTTCCAGAAGAAATCTCTCCCCCACTTACCGTGTTTCCCCGAAAATAAGACATCCTCCAAAAATAAGACCTACTTACAGGTTTTCTTCTGGGTGAAATATAAGGCATCCTCCGAAAATAAGACCCCCCCCTTAGGCTAAACATGAGAGATTTGGTCCACTGATTCTGAAAGAAATGGAGTCACAAGAAATTCACCAGGAAATTCAGGAATTGGATTGTTATGATGATGTTCCAGAAGATGATGACATGATTGTCATTGAATAAATGAGTAAATTCTTGATACTGTAGGATTCACAGTTTGTCTGGTTTGTGTTGACAACTATTGTACTATCGTACCGTATACAGGTAATAAATTTCCTTTATTTTCATTTAACAATAAATGTGTACCGTATTCTTCTTCATGGAAAAATAAGACATCTCCTGAAAATAAGACCTAGTGCATCTTTGGGAGCAAAAATTAATATAAGACACTGTCTTATTTTCGGGGAAACAGGGTAGCATTAAAATGCAATGGCTCATAAAATTAAGCATGCAGAGATTCTGTTTTTGAAAATGGGCTCTAGATTGTTTCTGAAATGCTTAAATGCTAGGTTTAGAGGAAGATAGGGGTGGGTGTGGGTGGGGAGAGATCAACCAAAGAACTTGCATGCATAACCCATGGACAGACAATAGTGTGGTGAAGGCCTGGGGGAGGGGAGTGGGTGTGGGGCGGAGGGGGGACAATGAAAAAAAAAAAAAAAAAGGGAACATCCAAAATACATTCAACAATGAAGATAAATTAAAAAAATTCAAATAAAAGGAATATGAAACTTTATAAAGTAAACTGTGAAAAATGGACACTTTAATTTCAGGTAACTATATTTCTAAAAATATGAACTTAAGAAAAGTTTGACCAAGCAAGAGATGCCTTTCCCAGACCTCGGCTCCCTAATCTGCACAGGTCCTGTGACTGGGGGGCGCTGGCCCTCCTTCTTGCCACTCATTACTTACCAGCAACTCGAGTGTGGGCTTCCGGTACTGATAGGGGAAAGAGTCTTTGGTTTGTCTCTCCTGGTGTTCACCTTTCCCAAACACTGCAGTTGGAAGGGAAAACATCATCCATTAGGACACCTCTACCCTGGCACTGAGCAGTGAGTTCTGTGGAGGCCTCGAGTTGGAATATGTCGCTGGAAGCCCATTCTTTTTATTTTACTGGTTATCAACCCATTTGGGGAAAAATGAATATCCTCATGTAAACATTTCACAGGAATTAGGAGTTGAGCGATTCAACTGGCCTTTAATTAATAAGCTCCTATTTAGCTCACCCCTTATATTTTTTAGGTGACTTGCCCATGATCCCCGAATCCAGGGTTCTTTCTCCTCTACCACATGGAAAACATGTAGGTGTGCAAAGAAAGGAACTCGGACGCTATTGCCCATACAGCATTAAGCCTCCTGAGCCACGCCAGGTCTGTGTGCATTTGTCTGTGATTCTTCCCCACTGGATGACCTTGGGCTGTTGGGTTCCCATTTTAACCAAAAATTCTGTGTATGTCTCAGAATTTTAGGTATTGTAGCAGCAACTGCTGGTTGAAATAAAAGTGATAGCCATGTCATTACATAAATTGACTTTGGCATGTCCTTGTAATTCTAGAAAACTCTCGCAAAATGGCTCTAAACATATTTTTCATTATTACTAGATCATTTACTTTTTAAGATGACCAATGTGGGTAAGGTTTTATATATCATAAAAGAAGTTATGGCCCTTGGAAGTTTCAGTATTGGTGCTCTGGTTCCCTCTCGTGGTCAAGTGTGAAAATGTCAGGCTGAGCTCTGACCGCCTGGCATTTTCACACTGAATAGGCAGGTCCCAGTCAGGATGCATTCATGAGTCCTCAGTGTTAAGGCTAGAAAGAATGTACCAAGGGCGCTGTGTGCCCGCTCTTAAAGGAGCAGTCTCTGCTGCAGATACCACTGAAGTTGCAGAATGCAGGGGAAACAAGTCAATGTTTGGAAGCTTAGAAGGGGAGAGTGGGAAGCAAAGAGGATTCCTAAACTTTGAGGCCAGTGTGTGCGATATCCTGATGGACCCTTGGCTTCTCTCTGAAGCTCCCTGCTGCCTGCTGGCTCTTCAGCAATTGGGACCATGCTCCACCTCCCAGGGTCCTTTGCCCTGCTCTTTGCTAGGTCCTCCCCCACCCCAGCCCAACACATCCTAGGAGGATGTTTGGAGGGAGCTTATTAACTTTTTGAAGTGAGCCATGCTCTCTTCCACACATGTCTGCGGCCCCTGATAAACACAAACTCCTGGGCTAGAGAGCTCTTGGGGTATCTTGATGCCCTCTACTCCCTGTGCGGTGTTTTTCTGAAACACCCCAGGCCGTGTCTCTGGGTTGGCTACTTCAGGTGTGAAGAGATGAGGCTCAGATGACCTGGAGCAAAAAAGGCACTTCTGGGAAGTGTGTGAGGTTGTAAACAGGCCAATAATCTGGGAATGATTATTCCTTACCTTCTGGGTACTCTGGGCAAGTCGGTCTCCTCTCTGGGGTTTGAGGACAGAATTAGATTGTTTTCCTATCTGGCTCTTCATGAGGCTGCTCCAACCTTGCAGCAGGTTGGGGAGACTCTCCACCCACCCCCCAACTCCTTCCTGTTTGCTGCAACATGTCCTCAGCTTCTAAAGCCATATTTCTGGCTGCACCTCTGACTGAGCTCTGGCTGCCACCTGGACCCTGTCTTGGTCTTGGCCTGTGGGAGCCCCTCCTTCCCTGCTGCTCTACTGTTCCCTGGGCCCTGGCATCTCCACCCCTGCAATGCTGAGACCAGATCATCCCTGCCTCCTGGGCTAGGGGTTGGGGATGTAGCAGCAACAGAATCTCATGGAGAGTTTTTAAAGGTCCTTCAGCCTACCCAGGTGGCTCCCAGTGGAATTAGATTGGAGTTTTCCAGGATGGGATGCAGGTGACTCCAATGTGCAGCCAAGATTGAGACCTCCTGGCCTTGATCTACATGCCCACTGCCTGTTTAGTGTCCCATCCAGGGAGAGAGTGGGCACTGGGACCCATGGCTGTGGTCAGAGGTCAGATGTGATAGGCTAGGCCTGACCCTCACAGTTCTCTCCACCCTTCTGTGAGTAGGTCCTGACATCGTCCTCATTTTACAGATGAGTAAATCAAGGCCCAGGAGTGAGGGGAGGAAGTGCACACCTTTGCTCCTCCTCCGAATGGATGACCACTCGATGTGGAACACACTCCTGGGCTTAGGGAGCACGGCCTCAGAGCCCTCATCGGCCTTGGGGCTCATGATGATTGGCTGCTCCCCGCTGCTGCCTAACCAGGGGCAAAACAAGACAGGTCAGCATTTCACCCTGGCCAGCACCCAGTGAGAGCCAAGCAGAGAGCGTGGGAAAATCACAGGCAGCAGCAGGAAAAGAAAGCAGTGTGGTGTGCTCGGAAGCTGCATGGTGGTTGCATCATGTCTGTGAAACATCCAGCTTCCCTACTTTCTTCCATGAAAACTTCCACTCCTTTCCCCACAGGAACCAGCCCCCAGCCCCCTAACAGTGTCCCAAAACCATCAGCCAGTCTCTTAGTTCCCAACAAGGAATCCTCCATGACTCACTTAATGGGACCTTGGGCTCACCTAGGGGTGGTCCCTAGCTGACAGCCTTTTTCTACCCTTAAGCCAGCACCCTGGCTGCCATCTGAGATGGGGAGTCTATGTGGGGAACCCCTCAGTGCTGGCTACACATCAGAATAATGTGAGTGCTTTAAAAATGCCTGGTCCTGCCAAACCGGTTTGGCTCAGTGGATAGAGTATCGGCCTGCGGACTGAAGGGTCCCAGGTTCGATTCCAGTCAAGGGCATGTACCTTGGTTGCAGGTACGTCCCCAGAAGGGGGTGTGCAAGAGGCAGCTGATTGATGTTTCTCTCTCATCGATGTTTCTAACTCTCTATCCCTTTCTCTTCCTCTCTGTGAAAAATCAATAAAATATATTAAAAAAAAATAAAAATACCTGTTCCTGACCCCAGGCCTTTGCTCCTTAGTCCTCACATGCTAAGCATCAGCTACCCCAGACACACCCTGGGCAGAACAATATTTGATCCTGCAGCATCAAAGACTCAGAACTGCATGGAGCTTCAATATACTACCTCCTAAATCCTGAAAAATCAACTTGCCCATGTTACTGGTTCACCATGGCACAGCCACAAACTGCACCCAGGTCTCCTGACATCCACTGTTCCATAGGGGCTACAGGAGGCCAGGCTCAGCTTTCATGCTTGGGCTCTGTGGGGCCCATATTAATATGAGTTCCCAGAACTGATGTCCTAGTCATAAAAGACAAAAACCAATGGCATCTTTCTTTCCTTTAAAAACAATTCTTGTCCTTGTTTGGGATGAGTTGGGAGATGGCCCCAAGTATGGTCTGACACGTTGCTGGTTCTGGGTCTCAGGGATGATACTGGACTGCCAGGGAGGGCAGCGGCCCTGCAAGATGGACCAGCCAAGAGCTGAGAATGGAAGGTGGGAACAGATGCCACGAAGGAGGTGGGAGATAAATTAACAAATTTCATGGAGTTGTGAAAAAACTTAAGGCCACGATGATAGCAACTTATTAGTACTATTCCTTTTGGGACCATACAGCTGGGTCCAGGGACTGTGGCCACACCATGTCCTACCTGTTGACTAGAAGGCTAGGGGTTGCTCTCTGGGACCAGCTATGAGGGCGCCGTGGCACATGGTTTGGGAAGTTCTGTCCTTGATGATCTTAGCAGCTGAGTGGCTCCTCGGCATGCCACCTGGTGTTGGAATTACTGCCCTCTCTACTTTAACAAGCCTTTTAGGTGTCACAGGGCATGTAGCTTCACACTGGGGCTGTTCAGGACCATTTCAGGGGCATGGTCCCTGAACTCGAGGATTTCTGCCACACATGTTTGAATAGGCAAGAATCCAACGGTGCTTTCTGCCTATTGACTCTGAGAAGGAAAGAACAGTGATGAGCCACAATAATCTGTTTGGAAGAACTTTTTCTTTAGTAGAACTCACACCCCTGCCAACTTCTATGGTACAGAAAGTGCCAGCCGTTCAAGTAGCAGGGGTAAAGGGACTGAGGGGTAAAGGGAACTGTCAAATACAATGTGGAAGCTCAATGTAATGTCTTTGAGAGGACCAAACAATCTCAAAGCATCTATGACATCTTTCAGAGGAAGAAGAAATGAGTAGTTGATCCTACTGAAGGTTAACCTTTTACTCAAACAGGTCCTTGCCCATCCGCTGTCCACAAACTGTCTTTCTCAGGTGGATCGATGCTGTCCGTATATTACCTATAATGTTCCACATATGGAGCATCTGGAACCTACCATAAGGACCCATTTGTCATCCCTTCCCAGCTCCCTGGGTCTGCTATTCCTCCAGCCTACTGTTTGCGAACACACTCATACATCAAAAGGCGATTTCCCTACTATACTGGCATGACCCTTTTTGAAGTGACATGTTATATATGATTTGATTTTTTTCTACATCCAATTCTACATGGTTATACTTTGGCCACAAGTTGGGCATGTTTCCCTATGTGGGAATTGAGCATTGCAGTACCAGTGTGTGTGTGTGTGTGTGTGTGTGTGTGTGTGTGTGTGTGTATGTGTGTGTGTGTGTGTGAGAGAGAGAGAGAGAGAGAGAGAGAGAGAGAGAGAGAGAGAGAGAGAGAGAGAAAGAGAGAGAGAGAGAAAGAGAGAGAGAGAGAGAGAGAGAAAGAGAGAGAGAGAGAGATGAATGCCTGTGGGTGGTAAATTAGATGATATCTCTTTTTCTGTGAAGTTGTGTTTTCTGTGAAGTTGACATTTTCAAAGGTCATTCTATAAGCTAGCAGAGGCCTTGGTTGCCAGAACTGGAAAGGTTTTGAGATGATCCATTCCCATTTTACAGATGGGGAAACTGAAGCCTAGAGAAGCTGAGTGACTTGCTGGAGTCCACACAACTATTGTCTCACCTTCCAGTCCAAGGCTTATTTCCCTAGGCTTTCCTTCCTCTGAGGGATTTCTTTTTGGTCTATCAGTTCAACCCTGCTTTTGGGGGATTCAAGAAAACCCTGCAAGGCTTCCTGTGCCTTCCTGTCAAATCTGCACTGGAAAGGGGGTTGGGAGGGACATGGACAGAGTACAGGCAGAGGTCAAGTCCACAGGAACACTTGGAGGTAAATTATTTGGAAGTCCCAACATTTTCATTGGCCATTTTTTAAGGAGGTGGGATATGAGTCAATGTAATCCTGAGATAAGCAAGACCTCAGAGTAAACGCTTTAAGCTCTTTCTCTTCTTCCTCACACAGCTCACTAGATGCTCAAGGGACTTGTCTAGCCTTTGTTTGCTTTTGCTTTGTTTTTGGCTCATGTCATGGAGAAGACATTAATAAGCATAAATGAGTTGGTACCACCTCTGACTCAAGATACCTTATGATGATTTCATACATGAGTTTAAAGAGTGCAACAGTCAGAGCAGGCTATCTGTGACTGGAGTAACACCTGATCTTCCTCCAGAATGAGTGTGAATTCTCTTCCCCCTGTTCTCAACCCAACCCACCCTCAGAACTGTCAGTCTCCCTGACTTTGATCTTTCTCATTTCAATCCATTCTATGCTTCAACTACTGGACCATGTCATTGCCATTCTCTTACTCAATAATCTACATAGAATACAATTCATATTGCCAAGAGTATGACACTCACACACCTCCACCTAGCCTTCCAGATACTTCACAACATGACTAACTACATCATCCAGCTCTTCCATTTCCTTCCCCTCACACAGCCTGCCTTGGTCCTCTGGCCTTATCGTGGACCCCGTATGTTTCCTTCCTCTTCTTGTCTAATTTATATTGACCTTCAAGGACTGGTTTATGTTCTGCTTCCTCCATCATGCCATCCTAGACTTACTTGGCCATGTGGATCATTCCATTCTTCGGATTCCTACTGCATTTGCAGAACTCTAGACTACATCATTTGGAGCTAGGACTACAGTAAAGATTTATATTGATAGTTATCATGCACTCAAAAAGTTAATAAATCCTTTCCAATCCATTTAACTACTTGGAATTATCGATCCTTGAGCAAGTGACCTGTGAGTTTGGGCAATGATAGAAGGAAACAGAGGCCCACAGAGCAGTGTCCCCCCTGAGGTCACATGTCAGTTAGCAGTGGAGCTAGGTTTTGACCTGGCGTTGATGCTTTACTCCTGCACTGCAGGCGTTTTCCAGACAGCTGGAGCCTTCCCAAATGATATCAATAGTCTTGCAATTTTAATTTAAAAAACATGAATATTTCATATCCCAGAAGGAGAAACAAATAAAAAAACACCACCCGAAACAAAACACAAAAGCCAACCTGTGTATCATTACATTTGTGATACCCAATGAAAGCCCAGGAAAAGTTCTGGGCCATTTTACCCTGGCTTCTTCCCTTGGGGCAACATTTCCATCATCCCTTTCCTCACATCAACTTCTCTACCATCTCTGCTCCCCACTATCTATGGCAAACACAGCTATCTGATCATAAGCACTTTCTTTATCTGTCTCAGTACAGCCTCAGAATTCTTCTCAACATAGAAATCAACCAATTAGTCAGCATTGGCACTTAATAATAAACCTATTTCCCCCCTCTGACCTTAAGAAAGATGTGGATGCTGCACAAGTTTGAGAGGAGGGGTATGTCAAGGGTTGACAGTAGGCAGAGTTCTGGCTGTGGGCACTTCCAAGCCTCACAGGATAGTCTTCACTCAGCAAGTTCGCCGAGGCTCATATTCTTTGGTGCCAGTTTTGGAGGAGATCACATATCTGACAAGTTGTCCATTCTCTGATTTGAGAGCTTTAATTTCCTGAAATGTCATTTCTTAAGGCACTGCTATCTGTCTACCAGAAAGATCAACTCTCTGTAGCTACTCAGAGTATATCTATGGTAACCTAAGATGGCTATGTAAGGGAGAGCCACTAAGAAAACAAATTGCTAAACTGGGATATTAAGATATTTGTGGATACTGAGATGGTCTCGTTCTATAGGCATGCCTATGGAAGGCGTCAGGATCTGAGGAGAGAGGCTTAGATGCCTGGACCAGGTGTCATTGCCCTGGAAACAGCAGCTAACAAGCTCCTAGGAGGGAGGTTTTCAAATCCACCCCATTAATATTCCACAGCTCAACTCAACATGGTGCTTCTCAGGGACCATCCTGTCAGAGCCACAAGTTACAGAGTTGTGGAAAGGATAACAAATAATACGAGGCTCACCCAGTGGGCAGGTGTGGTGGTAAGAGGACTCAAGGGCTAATGGATTCACTTAGTTTCAC